CCCGTCGTGCAGCTCCCTGCTAGCCTAGCTCTGGGCTCCCTGCATACAGCTCTGCCAGTGGCTTTCAGTCCTGACCTGTAGCCCCTCTGTTAGTCCAATCCTGGGTCCCTCCTCCCTGCCCCAGCTCTGCTGGTGCCCGTCAATGCTGACCTCTGTTCTTCCAGTTCTGTGCTTGCCACACTTAGCTTTGCTGATGCCCCTCAATTCCAGCGTGTGGCCCCACTGCTATGCCATTCTTGGGTTGTCTCCCCTGAGCAGACGTGCCAATGGCAAGGAGTAAGGATGTGAAGAAGCCTGTAATTTTTTAATTGCGTAGTCGCCAAAAATGTTGACTACACGATTCATCGATAAGGGTTAGCCCTGCAAGCACCCAGTCCTGGCTTGTGCCTGGTCCAGCAACTATCCCCGCTGCAGCTCTGCACTAATAGTATTCTGTGGGCCGGCAGGCAGGCAGCCTGGCTCAGTCCCCGCTTGTGCCAGGTACTGGGAGCTACCCCTGCTGTGGCTCTGCATGAAAAGTAATTTAGGAACCAGTGGGCAGGCAGCCCTGCTCAGTCCCCACTGGCAGGAGCTTATTATTGCAGAGCTGCAGTATGGGTAGCTCCCGGGACCCGGTGCAAGCCGGGGCTGAGCTGGGCTGCCGGCCAGCCTTCTAAAACATGTACTGGCAGAGCCGCGGGGAGCAGGGGGCGGAATGTGTGTACTTGGTAGCTGGGTAGTTGGTTGCTTATTGGTTAATGGTTTAACTGACTACACTAGTAAGGAACGGAGCATTATTTTAAATGTGGCAATGTGTCCACTAGGCACTCATAGGTCTGTCAGTGGCCATTAGCTAGGATGGACAGGGATGGTGTCTCTAGTCTCTGCTTGTCAGAAGCTGGGAATGGGTGACAGAGGAGGGATCACTTGATTCCCTGTTCTCCATTCCCTCTGGGGCCCCTTGCATTGGACCAGCAGTCGGGAGGGCACGGGACTGGGATCCCATGAGGCCTGCAGCTTGCAAATCGGCAGATGGGAGTCCACCCACAGGGCCAGGGAGCCCACTAGTACCCTTCCCTCCCTACTCCTGCATCTGCAGGTAACAGGTTTAACCATGTAACTGATACAAATTCTATTGGTTACACAATTAATATGTTTATACATTTTTTACATCCCTAGTTGGAAGACTGGAGACTGGGCTAGATGGACCTTTGGCCTGACCCAGTATGGCCGTTCTTATGTTCCTGTTCACCTGTGTCTTTGGTGGGGGGGTCAGCATTTGTGCCTCTCCACCTCTTCCACAGACCAAGGATTCTTGCAACCCCACTGAGATCAGCCCCAATCACTGAAGAGGTAATGACAGATCAGCCTGTTGTATTCCAAAAGCTGTCCTTCCCTTCCCCTGGCATAGGGCTGCCATGGACATGTCTGTCATCCAGAAAGACTAACCAAGGATGCTCTTGGAGTTAAAGGATGGAGCTGGGATTTGGGAGATTGAGCATGTCTCTTCTTTTCTCTGCATGTGTGTCCCCATTTGTAACACAAGGAGGATTCCATTTCCACCCCCGGCTGATGGATTCCTGGCTCAGTGTTTGGATGGGGCTGTGAGGGAAGGTGCTTGAGGAGCGGACAGGATTATTATTAATCACCGGGATCAAGGGAAGCCAGCCAGCTGTGGGCTGGTAGGACCCTTCCCAGTGGTTTTGGCATTTTGAGAACTTAAACTGGCAACAAGTGCAAATAAACTGTATGTTTTTCATTGGCTTGGCCAGCTCTATAACAGTGAGTATGATCTGAATTTGTGCCTGGATTTGTTTGTATCTGGACCTAATGTAAACAGGTGCCTTTCTATGGAGTTGTATCTGCATAGACCTTCCCCCCATGCCTCACTCCTCCATCTGCAGCCTCTGCATTCAGCGTAGCGAAGTGCATAGCCTGGGGCAGAACTGCTCAAGAAGTTCCTTCCCACGAGGCCTCCCCGGGAGATTATAGACATGACAACTTTTTCCAAAACAGCCAAGCAAGTTTTAATGAAGAGAAGTTAGAATGTGTCTCCCCACGGGCAACCCAAAGGTCTGTAAAGCCCAGCACAGACAACAGAGAGCGCGCTGGCTTGGCATTTGCTACAGAAGTGGCTTTCTCGTGCCTGTGTTCATTAGTGGGATGCTGCTTGGGTACAAGTAATGGCCAAGGTGATTCATGGTGGAGACACCATATGGTAGTGGTCTGACTTTTTTTTTTCCAGACTTTTTTTGAAAGTCAGGCCCCTTTAGGACTTCCCGTTTGAGAGGGAGGCCAATATGTGTAGATGATAACTTGGCTCCCTGGCCCAAATGCAGTGAGGCTGAAGCCAGTAATAGGGAAGGGGGATGCAGAGCATGTGTGAGCAGGAGGGATGCTCTGCTCTGAATGACAGGCAGGGAGGAGAACTTTAGTGGTGTATTTTGAATGGGCTGTAAGGGGGAGTGTAGGGGCTGAGGAGGCCAGGGAGGAAGGTTTGGGCCTTTGAAGGTGGAGAAGGCAACCACAGGATTTCCACATGATGTGAGGGGTCTAGGTGCGAGGGGAAGATGAAAGGAGAAGTAGAAGACTGGCAGATGTGAAGACCAGAAGGGACCAGTGTGATCTCCTGAGTACGTTGGTCCAGCCATTTGAGGCCCTGGACAGGGTGGAACAACTTGGACAGGGCATCAGAGCAAACCTGCCTTTGTATAGCACCTACCACAAGGGGGTCCTGTTTCGTGGCTGGAGCTCTTTGGTGCTACAGGAATACAAATAATAGTGCTCGTACAAAAAGAAGGAACATTAGAATGGCCGTACTGGAGTAGACCAAAGATCCGTTTAGGCCAAGGGTGGGCCGTAATTTTTGACTGGGGGCCACTTCAAAAATTTGTGAAGTGGCCCCGGGCCACCCCGGACGGGGCGTTGCCTAAAATGGAAGGGGTGGGGCCAGGATGCTTCCGGGCTTCCACACCCCCAGACCATAATTGGTCTAGGGGTACGGGCACCCCTTTGCCCCTCCCTCCCCACTAAGCACCCATGCCCCTGGGAGGGCAGGAAGAGGCTTTGCACGCTACCCTACCCCCAGGTCAGTTAGGCTCTGGGGGCAGCAGAAGCTCACAAAGTTTCCACCGCCCTGCCAGGAGCATGTAGCACTGGAGGAGACTTGACGTGCTCCCCCGCCCTCAAGCCCTGATTGGCCTGGGGGCGGGGGTGTGGCAGGGCCTTTGCAGGCCAGATCAACCTGCTTGGCAGGTCAGATCCAGCCCGTGGAGGGCCTTTTGCCCACCCCGGTCTAGTCCCGTATCCTGCCTTCCGACACTGGCCAATGCCAGGTGCTTCAGAGGGAATGAACAGGACAGGACAGGGCAGTTATGTATCCCCTGTCGTCCAATCCCAGCTTCTGGTAGTCAAACATTTAGGGGCCTCCTGAGCATGAGGTTGTAATGGCTAATAGCCATTGATGGACCTGTCCTCCATGAAGTACCGTGTCTGCCCTGAACAAAGGCTTTGCAGATTTGCTTGCAACGGCCTTCGCTCCATCCTCCACGACTCAGCTTGTCCACCTTGAGCAGATGCAGATGGGCTGCTGAGGTTTGAACTGAGGTTCTACGGAGCCTAGGAATTTCAAACCCGATGCTCAGAATGGTAAGCCATCCCCTTCAGCATACACAGCATCAACAGGGCTTTCTTACATTACCCCTAAATCATCATCATCTCAGGTTTTGTTTGTACAGCCCTGTGAATGTGCGTGACACTTTAGAGAAGGAAAAGACACCATCCCTTCCTGAGCGAAGGCAGCTAATCTAAATGAGCACATGGCGTGGCATGGGGAAGGCCAGGGTGAAAATAATAAAAAGATCACGTCACTGCTGCTAGTGTTATTGATCATTTATTTAACATCTCTATATATAGCAGCACAGCTGGGCTGGGCTCGGCTGTGCTGTCACTTTGAAACCCTACTAAAGAAGTTGCCATGGTTTCAGATTGACAGTGTAGTGTGCCTATCTTACAGGAGCTAACAATAATGAAATCCCACCAGAAACTTGCTTAGCAGGAAATCACATCTGATGCTAGGCCGTAGCATGGACGGTAGCCTATGTATTGCTGAATCTTTGCCCCTTGCCACATGGTATGGGATCCTAATGAACTGCTTAGTGTATATGTAGTACTCCCCTCCACCAGATGGAGTCTGAGCTGTTCAGCTGTGTGTCATAAGCCCTCTACTGTTAGCGGTTACAAGGGTGTTCTCCCTTAATGCAGGGTGCAGTACAAGAGGAGTGGAAATCTTGTTGCACTGTCACCATGAAGTTCTGAGTGACCGTCTTGTGCAACAGAGTGACAGCCAGGAAGTCCCGGGGCATTCTGGATTTATTACAGGGTTCACCTATGGAGTGTTCCGGGACACTGAAAAGCAGCAGACCTGATAAACAGAACTACCTTCCTACACAATGTGCGTTGAGACTGGGAAACTCCCAGTCACATGAAATTGTTGAAGCCGTGAACGAGATGCAAAGAGGGCAACAAGAACATCCAGTTATGATGATAAATTCCAAGGAATAAGAATTTAAGGGAGGGGATATAAAGCCTCGTGTATCAGGAATATGAGACATTGCGAGGAGCAAATTGTCCTTTATGTGTCTATTATACGTGTGTAACACCTTCCTCTGAAGCAGCAGGTGCTGGCCAACATGGAGGAAAGAACACAGGACTAGACTGACCTTGGGTCTGATCCAGTCTGACAATTCCTATGCTCCTGTAGGCAAATGTTGAGGCTAATTTAGGGAGGATGGTGTTGGTTATTCCTTTCTTTGAAACATAACTGCAGCCCATGGCGGGAGATGTGATTCTGGGGCTGTGAGTGGGGTGACCCATGTGGCAAGTCTGGTGGTGGCAATTATGGACAAGAAAGTCTCTATCTTCCCCCACACACATATGCCCCCTCAAACTCTTGTTTTTCCCTTCTGTATTGATGACCTCACCTCTTCTCTCTCTCTCTCTCTCTCTCTCTCTCTCTGAAGATCCTGTCCAATATTGCCATCTACCTGTGCACCATCATGGTGGGCATCATGTCGTACTACATGGCAGACCGCAAGCACCGCAAGGCCTTCCTGGAAGCACGGCAGTCTCTCGAGGTCAAACTCAACCTGGAGGAACAAAGCCAGCAGCAGGTAAGAGCGGATCCCCATTTGCTGCCGGATACTTGTCTTCCTTCTAGAGGGGATGTCACTGGCCTGGCATCTTGCACGGCAGGGAGAGGAGACGTGGAAAGCTTGTTGAGGATGGAGGAAAGCTATTCTGCCCTGGGCTTGTCTCGCCCTCGCCAATGGAAAGTGCTTGCAGAGAGACCTTAGTGCTACATGATGAATTCTGACACCAGTCAAGGGCTGTGCCTTTAGCATGCTTTCTGTGCTGCAGGTCAGCTCTAACATGTATCGGCCGAGTTGTGTGTGCAGTGCCTGGGATGAGAGTGTCAGCTTTTTGGTGGGGATGGTCATGTTCTGTCTGTAGACAGTGCCTAGCGCAACAAGCCCTTGGTGGATGTCTGGGGCTCCTTGGTGCTACTGTGATACAAACAGTAAATAACTAGAAGAGAGAATGCCACCAGTCAGGACTGAGGGGCATTGACAGAGCTAGGGCGGGGAAAGGCCAGGACTGGATTACTAGTGGGGGTTGCAGGTGAGGATTAAGGTGTGTGAGGAACAGTGCAGAGCAGAAGCCAAAATATGAGGAATTGGACCTAAAGAATGGCTGTGCTGGGTAGAACCCAGCCATCCCTGGGCTAATGTAACTGTTTTGTGGGGGTGGCTAAAGGGAGCTGTGGTTATCAGAGAATCCTAGAATCCTAGGTCTGGAAGAGACCTCAGGAGTCCTTGAGTCCAGCCCCCTGCCCAAAGCAGGATCAACCCCAATGAAATCATCCCAGCCAGGGCTTTGTCAAGCCGAGACTTAAAAATCTCTAGAGATGGAGATTCCACCACCTCCCTAGGGAACCCATCCCGGTGCTTCACCACCCTCCTAGTGAAATAGTTTTTCCTAATATCCAACCTACACCTCCCCCACTGCAACTTGAGACCATTGCTCCTTGTTCTGCCATCCGTCTCTACTGAGAACAGCCTCTCTCCATCCTCTTTGGAACCTCCCTTCAGGAAGTTGAAGGCTGCTACCAAATCCCCCCTCATGTAGAATAGTAATAGAGATGTAGCCGTGTTAGTCTGATCTTGCTGAAACAAAAGAGAGGACTATGCAGCACTTTAAAGACTAACAAGATGGTTTATTAGGTGATGAGCTTTCGTGGCCAGACCCACTTCCTCAGATCAATTTTGTTTTGTCCTCTCTTTTATTTCATCAAATTCCCCCTCACTCTTCTCTTCTCTTCTCTTCTCTTCTCTTCTCTTCTCTTCTCTTCTCTTCTCTTCTCTTCTCTTCTCTTCTCTTCTCTTCTCTTCTCTTCTCTTCTCTTCTCTTCTCTTCTCTTCTCTTCTCTTCTCTTCTCTTCTCTTCTCTTCTCTTCTCTTCTCTTCTCTTCTCTTCTCTTCTCTTCTCTTCTCTTCTCTTCTCTTCTCTTCTCTTCTCTTCTCTTCTCTTCTCTTCTCTTCTCTTCTCTTCTCTTCTCTTCTCTTCTCTTCTCTTCTCTTCTCTTCTCTTCTCTTCTCTTCTCTTCTCTTCTCTTCTCTTCTCTTCTCTTCTCTTCTCTTCTCTTCTCTTCTCTTCTCTTCTCTTCTCTTCTCTTCTCTTCTCTTCTCTTCTCTTCTCTTCTCTTCTCTTCTCTTCTCTTCTCTTCTCTTCTCTTCTCTTCTCTTCTCTTCTCTTCTCTTCTCTTCTCTTCTCTTCTCTTCTCTTCTCTTCTCTTCTCTTCTCTTCTCTTCTCTTCTCTTCTCTTCTCTTCTCTTCTCTTCTCTTCTCTTCTCTTCTCCAGACTAAATAAGCCCAAATAACCTCAGCCTCTCTGTGTAGGTCATGTGGCTCCAGCCCCCTAATCATTTTGTTTGCCCTCCGCTGGACCCTCTCCAATGCATCCACATCCTTTCTGTAGTGGGGGGGGGGGAAGGGCACGTAACTGGATGCAGTACTCCAGATGTGGCCTCACCAGAACCGAATAAAGGGGAAAAAATCACTTCTCCAGATCTACTGAAAACTGTCCTCCTAATGCACCCTAATACGCCATTAGTCTTCTTGGCTACAAGGGCACACTGACTCATATCCAGCTTCTCATCCTCTGTAATCCCCAGTTCCTTTTCTGCTGAACTGCTACTTAGTCATTTGGGCCCCAGCCTGTAACAATGCTTGGGATTCTTCCATTCCAAGTGCAGGACTCTACACTTGTCCTTGTTGAACCTCATCAGATTTCTTTTGGCCCAATCCTCTAATTTGTCTATGTCACTGGCCTCTATCCCTACCCTCCAACGTATCTACCTCTCCCCCTAGCTTAGTGTCATTCGCAAACTTGCTGAGGGTGCCATCCATCCCCTCATCCAGGTCATTCATAAAGAACAAAACCGGCCCTAGAACCAAACTTTGGGGCACTCCGCTTGAAATTGACCGCCAACCAGACATCGAACCGTTGATCGCTACCAGTTGGGCCCAACAATCTTGCCAGCTTTCTATCCACCTTACAGTCCATTTATCCAGTCCATACTTCCTTAACTTGCTGGCAAGAATATTGAGGGAGACTGTATCAAAAGCTTTGCTAAAGTCAAGGTATATCACATCCACTGACTTCCCCATGTCAACAGAGGCAGTTACCTCATCATAAAAACTAATGAGATTGGTCACTCATGACTTGCCCTTGGTGAATCCATGTTGAGTATTCCTGATCACTTCCCCTCTTCCAAGTGCTTCAAATTGGATTCCTTGACGATCCCCTCCATGACTTTTCTGGGGACTTAGGTAAGGCTGACCGGCCTGTAGTTCCCTGGATTGTCCTCCTTCTTTTTTTTAAAGATGGGCACTACGTTTGCCTTTTTCCAGTCGTCCAGGACCTCTCCCGATCTCCACGAGTTTTCAAAGATAATGCCCAAAGGCTCTGCAATGACATTTGCCAACTCCCTCCGTGCCCTCGGATGCATTAAGTCAGGGCCCATGGATCTGTATATGTCTAGCTTTTCTAAATAGTTCCTAACCTGTTCTTTCTTCACCAAGGGCTGCCCGCCTCCTTCCCAGAGTGCGTTGCCTAGTGCAGTAGTGATCTGAGATCTGGGTCAGTGTCCATGTCTTTAATGAGATTGTGCTAGCTCCTGCCTGTGTGTCTCTATGACGTGACTTCCAGCTGTGTGTGCCCTGTGCGGATCCCTCTGTGCGGATCCCTCTGTGCTGTCTTCTCCTCTCAAGGGCAGTGCATCAGCTGTGTGTGGTCTAGTCCAAGAGCTGAATTTATGCAGCAAGAGCAGAGGCTGGGCATCTAGGCAAACCTGCAGAGCGTTTGTCTAGTGGGTATAGTACTGCACTGGGACAGGGAGGCCTGGGTTCTATTCCCGGATCTGCTGTTGGGTTTCCTTGAACGAGTCACTGCACTGTTCTGTGCCTTAGTTTCCCCATCTCTGAAAAATGGATGATATGTTTTGCAAAGCACGTTGAGACCTACTGATGAGGAGTGAGTGCTATTGAAGACCTAGATGGTATTACTGTTATTTATTTGTGGTTATTTTTAGGCCATTTGTCTACTGGGATTTTAGCCACTACATCCCGATAGCTGCAGAAGTGCCAAGCACCAAAGTAAACATGATTTGCACCAGAGTGAGTCATGTCCGTCTTAGAGTTTTGTGCCAGGAGCTAGAATCTCAGTGTAGCCATGGCCTGATTTTTAGCAGGGCTGATCTTTCCATTCTGCTTGACCTCTGATGAGTCACCGGGTCCTCTTCTTCCTCTCCTCCGCCCAGCTGGAATATTGGATCTAAACTGAGAGCAGAAAATCTCATCTCCCTGAGAACCAGATGCTGCGATAAGTGGGCTCCGCTTTCCCGAGTAATTATTAATCATACATGCGAGCCATGTGATCCAAACCACATGACGTTAGGGGTGACTGGGAACAGCTCTGGGAAGACACAGCTGCCGGCCTGTTCCTTCAGGTTGCAAAACCTTTAGCCATGGAGACAGCAAATGTCAGGCGGGCATGTTTCCCAGGCCGTATGCTGAATGAGTGCACTGTCCGGTTCCCATTTCAAAGGCTCTGGCTTGCAGTTCCCAGAGGAAACAGCGGCTTGGGGAATGGGATTCAGGATGGAGCAGGAGATGCAAACTGCAGAAATGTTACTGAGGGACATGTTATCCCCAGCTGCTGGCTGCAGGAATTCTTGTCTCTGCAGCAACTCGTGCTAGCTTTATTGAGAGAGGACACTGGGCTTGCTGCGAGGGGTCATAGACTCGGGAGTGAAAAGCATAGTCCAACATGGAGCTGAGTCACAGAGGGTGCACTTCAAGCACAGCTCTGGGGTTGTGGGAGACCCCTCCCTCTCTCATACTTCTTGCAGACCATTTTAAGCTCTGATGAGATGGATCCTGGATCTCACCTGTGCCTGTGTTCAAACTGGGATGCTCCCTCACTCGAAAATGAGCTTGGTGTGTCCTTTCACAGCCCCCCCCCCCCCGAC